CACATTGGGAGGCGCAGGTGGGTGGATCATGAGGTCAGGAGTTCAAGACCAGCCTGGCCAACAATAGTGAAATCCTGTCTCTACTAAAAATACAAAAGTTAGCCAGGTGTGGTGGCATGCACCTGTAGTCCCAGCTACTCAGGAGGCTGAGGCAGGAGAATCACTTGAATCCAGGATGCAGAGGTTGCAGTGAGCTGAGACCATGCCACTGTACTCCAGCCTGGGTGGCAGAGTAAGACTCTATCTCAAAAAAAAAACAGTGACAGGGAGGAGGCAGTTATTTTGTATATGACTTTTGCTAATAACATTGAATAAACTTAGCAAAGGCTTTTTGGCAAATGATAATGTTGTGGAGATCTAACATTGCCGCAGGTGAAGAAACTATAGGAATGTGTTCCTTACATAGTCCTTAGTCAGTGAGTAGGGTGGTGTGGTAGACAGAATTAGATGAACTTAAGTTCCAATTGACAATGAAACATTCACTAGCGGTATGAATTTAGAAAAGATATTAAAATTCTTCCAGCACATTTATAAATTTCTTCATTTATAAAATGGAGCTATTAACACCTACCCTGACTCATAGTGTACCTTGCCTGAGACAGTTAGCAAACATATTAGTATTCTAATAAGCTCTAATGAGGAAATGGAAGAGGAAGTTGAGAAAATCTCCCAGAAAGTAGAAGAAGAAATACAAAAAGAGAATGAAAATGATGACTTTTAGAGCTATTGCCTGTCTACTGTTATTTGTAATTGATTAACTGAGTGTCAAGTAACTTGATTCAATTAATGGTTTATGTTGAGTCCTCCCTCACCCTCAAAAGCAGACACTGAGACAAGAATGTGAATGTTTGCTGTTTAAGAGGTGGTCCAGGAAGCATCAGTAGGTGAGTAGGGAAGTAAGACAGACAAAAGAAGAAAGTCAGTTGAAAGCAAGTTATCCAGCAGGTTACTGGAACTCAGTCCTACCGGGTAATTCTGGGGAAATCGTATAGAACATGTCTCAGAATTATCCCAGCTAAGGGTGAAGAAGCAGAGGGATGTGTCTATCACACATGAAGAACTACTTCCAAGGGGACGCTAAAACCTGAGCACTTCCAAGGTACCCCTCAAGTCCTCAAAGTGAGCTCTGGCAGCCAGAAAGTGCTCTTGGACAGAGAGGCAGCATCAATTATCTTCTTCTTCTTTTTTTTTAATTGAGATGGGGTTTCACCATATTGGTCAGGCTGGTCTCGAACTCCTGACCTTGTGATCCACCCACCTTCAGCCTCCCAAAGTGCTGGGATTACAATCAATTATCTTCTATAATTGTAACTGGTTGGTTGCATTATTTTGAGCTCTTCAAACTTAATTCCAGTGAAATTAAATCATAAAAACTTGAATATTTTAAAGAGCTTTCTAGAAGAATAAAACCTGATAAAGAAAGCCTCTATATTGTGAAAGTTAGAAATTATGGATTTTAATTTCTTAGGCTAGCTTCAGTTTTAGAAATGTAAGTTACAATTTTACTTGATATTTGGAGAATTGAAATACTGTGCTGAAATTGCCATCTCAGAAAGATAAGGAAAAGTTGTTTAGGGGCTACTTAAATTTCTACGACCACGGAAGTACTAAGAACAAACTGTATTTTTGGAGATTAGCCAGCTGGGGCAAAGGTCTTTAAAATTAAACTATACATGCTCTGATCCATTTCATTATGGTTTAAAATTCTAATTAACATTTGTCATTTTTTTGGCTGCCCAGCATCTGAACTCCTTTCTATGTTCGGGGAATTCTTGACCTTGTGTCTTGGTAGGAAGAAGAAACAGTCTCCCAGGATAAGGGTTGAGCGTTCCACATAATCCATTTTCTAGTTTTCTTCACAGCCAAACATGGGCTCCTGATTTAGCCTCAGCCAATCAGAAACCCCTTCCTCTAGAATTTGAACAGGGCGATAGGAATATTGAGAAGAAGCAGGGAAACCTCAGCCAATCAGAAGTCCCCACCCCAAGAATTTGAGTGGCAGGATAGGGATGTCAAGAAGCAGGGATGATGGAGAACCATCTCTGAACACAATGGCAGTTGCAGCCAGAGAGTTTCTGGGGGCAGCCATGATACTGTGGATGCTATGCTAGTTTTGTTTAGTGATGTATAAGTGACATAAACTAGAGGGTAGGGATTGGTAACAGTGACAGTGAGGTCTTCTTTCTCTTTTTAATTATTATTTTTTTTAGAGATGGGGTCTTGCTATGTTGTCCAGGCTGGAGTACAGTGGCTATTCACAGGCGCAATGCCATTACTGATCAACACGGGAGTTTTTACCTGCTCTGTTTCCTCCCTGGGCCGGTTCACCCCTCCTTAGGCAACCTGGTGGTCCCCCGCTGCCGGGAGGTCACTATATTGATGCCGAACTTGGTGCAGACACCCAATCAGCATATCACACTACAGCCCAGAACTCCTGGGCTCAAGCAATCCTCCCACCTCAGCCTCCTGAGTAGCTGGGACTACAGGAATGCGCCACTGCACCCGGAGAGGTCTTCTCTCAAACAGATCTTTTTTTTTTTTTTTTTTTTTTTGGTGGGGTTTCACCATGTTGGCTAGGTTGGTCTCGAACTCCTGACCTCAAGTGATCTACCCACCTCAGCCTCCCAAAGTGCTGGGATTACAGGCGTGAGCCACCACGCCCAGCCTTGGACAGGTCTTTGGTGTGGTTCAGGGCTTTGTCTGACTGCATGTTCTCCAACCTTCTAGGAGATTCCATAAGCCATCTAATACCATTCAGCAAGTTCCTTTTGCACCTAAGGAAGGCAAACTGATTTCAGTTAGTTACAACCAGGAAAGTTTACTGCTTCAAAATTCAGCACCCGGGAAGAAGGGTGTTGTCAGTAGCAAATGCCAAAATGTAGAACCGGCAATCCCAGACCTCTGAACACATATGAACATATTGCTGTGCAGCACCGAGAAAAAAACATCTTTCTAATGACCATCTGAGACAATGTCATAGAAAAACATAAATGGGAAAATTACCCCAAAAGGCAGAAGCAGAGTCCACAGAGGAGATGATAAAGAGTAATCCCTGAAGAGAGTGGAAATAAGGGCCAGCCTGAGGGAATGACCGAAGAACTGCCGCTCCCAGGCAGGAATCTCACTGTTCCTGTGCTGCTGGACAAGACATGTGTTTTACTTATTTACTTACAAGACATGTGTTTTCTTTACTTACTTGCTTGTTTATTTATGATTTCAACTTCTATTTAGATTCAGGGCTGGGCACAGTGGCTCACGCCTTTAATCTCAACACTTTGGAAGGCAGAGGAGGGCGAACCACCTAAAGTCAGGAGTTTGAGACTAGCCTGGTCAACATGGCAAAACCCTGTCTCAACTAAAAAAAAAATTAGCTGGGCAAGGGGGCATGCGCCTGTAGTCCCAGCTACTGGGGACGCTGAGGCAGGAGAATTGCTTGAACCTGGGAGGTAGAGGTTGTAGTGAGCCAAGATTGTGCCACTGGACTCCAGCCTGGGCAACAGATGACACTCTGTCTCAATAAATAAATAAATAATAAAATCAGGGGTTATATGTCCAGGTTTGTTACAGAGGTATATTGTATGAGGCTGAGTTTTGGGCAATGAATGATCCTGTCAACCAGGTAGTGAGCATAATTCCCAATAAGTAGTTTTTCAACCCTTCCTCCCTTCCATGCCTCCCACTTGAGTAGTCCCTAATGGCTGTTGTTGCCATCTTTATGTCCATGAGTAGCCATTGTTTAGCTCCCACTTAGAAGTAGAACATGTGGGATTTGCTTTTCTGTTTGCATGTTAATTTACTCAGGATAGTGGCCTCCAGCTGCATCTATATTGCTGCAAAGGACACTGTTTTGTTTCTTTTTTGTGGCTACATAGTATTTCATGGTATATATGTCCCACATTTTCTTGGATAAGGTACGTGTTAATATGTGTTACACGCTGGGCGCGGTGGCTCATGCCTGTAATCCCAGCACTCTGGGAGGCCGAGGCGGATGGATCACAAGGTCAAGAGATGGAGACCATCCTGGTCAACATGGTGAAACCCCGTCTCTACTAAAGATACAAAAAAATTATTTGGGCATGGTGGCGCGTGCCTGTAATCCCAGCTACTCAGGAGGCTGAGGCAGGAGAATTGCCTGAACCCAGGAAGCGGAGGTTGCGGTGAGCGGAGATCGCGCCATTGCACTCCAGCCTGGGTAACAAGAGCGAAACTCCGTCTCAAAAAAAATAAAATAAAATATGTGTTACATTAGTTGGGTGGGTGGTGCGTGCCTGTTAGTCCTAACTACTCCGGAGGCTGAGGCAGGGGAATCGGTTGGACCAGGAAGGCGGAGATTGCAGTGAGCTGAGATCACGTCACTGCACTCCAGTCTGGTGACAGAGCAAGACTCTGTCTCAAAAAAAAAGAAAAAAATATATGTTATAGACAAGTGGGAATTTTCAGATCAGACTCTATATTGTTGTCTATTGCTGGACTGCAGTGTTGCTGGAAGAGTACATTCAGTCCTGAATCAGAGGAGACAACTGAACATTGAACATTATACCACAATCCTGGGCTTGGAGGTAGTGACCTGATGAGACTTAGGGTTGCCACGTTTTAGGGAGTATTTGAATGATTTCCACAAAGGCATGAACATTTTTTAAGTGTTTTCAGAGAACATGGGCAGTCAAAGAGGTGGACTAGAGCATGAGTTGTTGATTTTCTACTCAATATCCTTTACTTCCTTTCTCCTTCCAAGCAAAACTCATTTCATTCAGGTGTTTGTCATTCTCTCCTACAGCGACCCTTTTCCTCTTCCAGAGAGAAATCCTATTCGGTTTGAATCAATCACAGCTGTCCCCTTCTTTTTGCCAGTGATTGATTCAGTGCTGAGCATGAAACCCAGGTCTGGTCACTAAGACATGAAGAGAGGTGTTCTGGGGGTCTCTTGTGGTTTCCTTGTGATCACAAAGGAGACACTGGAAGAAATACCCCTTTCTGCCTCAGAACATCACTGTGTCAAGATGTATCTGGAACTGCACTGTGAGGATAAGGCCAGTGGCAAGAAGAGAAGACCAAAGACTCAACTAAAACTGAAGCCAGAGCAAGAATGTATCATGGTTGTATCCCGCTCTTCCTTCCACTCCTTGGTCAGTGACATAATGAATTTTGTTTAAACCAGTTCATGTCAGAATTTTTTGGTTACTTGATGCTCACAGTATCCCAATGAATCTTCTTGCTTTTACTGAGTTAATGAAAAGAAACAAAGTATTCCAAGAAATATCATTCTGACCCCAAAACTTGTAAATGTGATCTTTCACTGTATGACTTGCTAGAATTTAACTGCTTACGTAAAACTTGATGGTTATATAAAATATTATTGGTTCACTTAATCATAAGGTGTTTATTGGCCAGGCATGGTGGCTCACACCTGTAATCCCAACACTTTGGGAGGCCAAGGTGAGAGGATTGCTTGAGACCAGAAGTTTAAGACCAATAGGGGCAATGTATAGAGACCTAGCCTCTACAAAAATAAATTAAAAATTAGCCAGATGTGGTGTTGCACACCTGTAGTTCCAGCATCTTGGGAAGCTAAGGTGAAAGGATCTCTTGAGCCCTGGAGTTTGAGGCTGCAGTGAGCTATGATCTCGCCACTGCACTCCAGCCTAGGTAACAGAGCACGATCCTGTCTCTTACACACACACACACACACACACACACACACACACACACACACACACAAATGTTTATTTATTTGTTTTTTATTTTTTTGAGACAGTTTTGCTGTTGTTACCCAGGCTGGAGTGCAATGGCGCGATCTTGGCTCACCGCAACCTCCGCCTCCCAGGTTCAAGCAATTCTCCTGCTTCAGACTCCCGAGTAGCTGGGACTACAAGCGTGCACCATCATTCCCAGCTAATTTTTGTATTTTTTTTTTTTTTTAAGTAGAGACAAGGTTTCACCATGTTGACCAGGATGGTCTCGATCTCTTGACCTCGTGATCCACCCACCTCGGCCTCCCAAAGCGCTGGGATTATAGACGTGAGCCACTGTGGCCGGCCCACACAATGTTTATTATAAGAAATTTAGTTTGCTCACTTGAGCTTCATATGGACCCATTAGCCTTTCACTGATCAATTCACCACTACAGATCCCATTGCAACCTCCGCCTCCTGGGTTCAAATGATTCTCCTGCCTCAGCCTCTCAAGTAGCTGGGATTACAGGCACGCATTGCCATGCCCAGATAATTTTTGTATTTTTAGTAGAGATGAAGTTTTGCCACGCTGGCCAGGTTTGGAAGGTCTTGGCCCTCCAAAGTGCTAAGATTACAACCATGAGCTACCGTGCCCAGCCAGAAAATTATTGAAGTACTCTATTTCACAGAATCATGGCAAAGCACACCCATTCCCTACTTGCAGTCCTCTTTCTCTCTTCAATCTATCCATGCCCTTGAAATCCATCCAGGCCTAAATTAAAAAGGCAATCATCCCCAGACTCAAAACACGTTTTCACCACATTGCAAGGGCAAATCTGACTTATCTTGAGATTAGATTTGTGGTCAAGAAACTTTAAGAAATACAGTTGTTAAAAATGTTTCCATGGGGGCTCTCAGTGTCCACTGAAACCTGGAGTTGTAATAGACTCCTGGATCCATATTTTCACACCTTAAGAAGGTGCCCCAACCCACAGGTACATCAACTTCAACTGGAGACCTGACTATGACTTAACAAACCCTCAAAGTGACCAGATGTATGAATAAGCACTAACACTGCCCACTTGCTTGATGTTGGTTTGAATTTCTATAATCGATTCTGGATATCCAGACAGAATTGTGACTCCCAAAACAATGAGATCAACTGTTTAATTTAACATCACCCTTCCAGTAAGTCCATGTCTTTGCCAAGCTGAAGCCTTCCCAGTCTCATTGAGTAAGAGTTTCTAAAGAGCTCCATCTCCTGCTGGGTGTGGTGGTTTATGCCTGTAATTCCAGCACCTGGGAGGCCAAGGCAGCTGGATCACCTGAGGTCAGGAGTCGAGACCAGCCTGGCCAACGTGGTGAAACCCCATCTCTACTAAAAATACGAAATTAGCTGGGTATGATGGCATGCGCCTGTAATCCCAGCTACTTGGGAACCTGAGGCAGCAGAATCGCTTGAACCTGGGAGGCAGAGGTTGCAGTAAGCCAAGATAGCGCCACTGCACTCCAGCCTGGGTGACAGAGCAAGACTCTGTCTCAAAAAATAAACATAAATAAAAATAAAAGAGCCCAATCTCCGGTCTCTATCTCCTTTACAGGTCTGTTGGTGGGGCTGACAATTTCCACCCTCACTGGCTCTTTCTTGGACATGCCCCATCCTGAGGCTATCTAGAGGCCCCACCCTAAGTCATCTCATTAGCGTAAACTCCAAGGTGATAAAAGGGGACTTGTTAAAAATAGTAAAAGATACTCCCTTGCTGGGGTGTGGTGGCTTATACCTATAATCTCAGCACTTTGGGAGGCCGAAACTGGAGGATTGCTTGAGGCCAGGGGTTCAAAGTCAGTCTGGACAACAACATAGGAAGATCTTGCCTCTACTGAAAAAAAAAATTAGCTGGGCATGGTAGCACATGCCACTAGTCTCAAGAGGCCGAGGTGGGAAGATTGCTTGAACCTGGGAGATTATAGGCAGGTGGGAAGATTGCTAGAACCAGGCAGGCTGCAGTGAGCAATGATCACGCCATGGCACTCCAACCTGGGTGATAGAGCAAGACCTTTCTTTAAAAAAAAAAAAAAAAAAAAAGATTCCTATCACTCAGGGAAATTTGAAGGGTTTTAGGAGCTGCATGCCAAAAATCAAGGACAAAGCCAGTTTTTAAAAATATAAGACTGGGCACAGTGGTTCACACTTGTAATCCCAGTATTTGGGAAGCCAAGACAGACAGATCACTTGAGGTTGGGAGTTCAAGACCAGCCTGGCCAACATGGCAAATCCCTGTCGCTACTAAAAAGATAAAAATTAGCCAGTGTGGTGGCATGCACCTGTAATCCCAGCTACTTAGGAGGCTGAGGCAGGAGAATTACTTGAACCCAGGAGACAGAGGTTTGGGTGAGCTGAGATGGCGCCACTGCACTCCAGCCTGGTGACAAAGTGAAACCCTGTCTTTAAATAAATAGGCCAGGCGTGGTGGCTCAGGCCTGTAATCCAAGCACTTTGGAGGGCAAGGCGGGTGGATCACCTGAGGTCAGGAGTTAAAGACCAGCCTGACTAACATAGCGAAACCCCATCTTTTAAAAAAATAATAAATAAATAAACAATAAATAAAAAGTAAATAAAAATATAATACCACAACCTATGATATGTAAAGAGAGTGCATTAGAAATAAAAAAAAAAAAAACCCAGGCTGGGTGCAGTGGTTCACGCCTGTAATCCCAGCACTTTGGGAGGCCGAGGCGCATGGATCACCTGAGGTCAGGAGTTTGAGACCAGCCTGGCCAAAATGGTGAAACCCTGTCTCTATAACAAACAAACAAACGAAAAACCCAGCAATAAAATCCCAGAACTAAATGGCTTCACCACTGAATTCTACCAAATATTTAAAGATTTTTTTTTTTTTGAAAGGGAGTCTTGTGCTGTAACCCAGACTGAAGTGCAGTGGCACAATCTCAGCTCACCATATCCTCCGCCTCCTGGGTTCAAGAGATTCTCTGACTCAGCTTTCCTGTAGCTGGGATTACAGGTACCCATCACCACACCCAGCTAACTTTTGTATTATTAGTAGAGACAAGGTCTCACCATATTGGCCGGGCTGGTCTCGAACTCCTGACCTTAGGTGATCCACCTACCTCAGCCTCCCAAAGTGCTGGGATTATAGGCATGAGCCACTGTGCGTGGCCATATTTAAAGATTTAATACCAATATTTCACAAACTCTTACATAAAACAGAAGGGTAAGAAGTAGTTCTCACCCATTTGAGACCATACCAAAACCAGATAACCAGATAACCATCACAAAAAATCTACAAATATCGATCATTAAAATGAATTCAAAAATCAGTATCAGGGTGAGTGTGGTGACTTACCTCTGTAATCCCAGCACTTCGGGAGGCCAAGGTGGGAGGATCCCTTGAGGCCAGGAGTTCGAAACCAGCCTGGGCAACGTGGCGAGACCATGTCTCTACAAAACTTTTTAAATTAGCCAAACATAGTGGGATGTGCTTGTAGTCCTACTACTTGGGAGGCTGAGGCAGGAGGATCGCTTGAGTCCAGGAGTGTGAGGCTGCAGTGAACTGTAATCACACTGCTTCACTCCAGCCTAGGAAACAGAGTCAGACTCTGTTCCTGGAAAACAAATAAATAAATAAACAAAAATCAGTAACAAATTACTAATAAGCAAAATCCAGCAATATATAAAAAAAAATTTTTTGTAAAAGACCAAGTGGGATTTATCCCAGGCATAAAAGGTTGATCAAACATCTGTGTTATCAGCTGAATTGAGCCCACTCTCCTAAAATTTATATGTTGATGCCCTAAACCTCAGTTCATTAGAAGCACATATTTGAAAATAAGTGCTTTCAAAGTGATTGAATTAAAATGAGGTTAAACTGGGTTCGGTGGCTCATGCCTGTAATCCCAGCACTTTGGGAGGCCGAGGCAGGTGAATCACCTGAAGTTGGGAGTTTGAGACCAACCTCCCCAACATGGTAAAACCCCATCTTAACAAAAATACAAAAATTAGCCGGGTGTCATGGTGCATGCCTGTACTCCCAGCTACTTTGGGAGACTGAGGCAGGAGAATCACTTGAACTCAGGAGGTGGGGGTTGCAGTGAGCTGAGATCATGCCACTGCACTCCAGCCTGGGTGATGGAATGAGACTCTGTCTCAAAAAGAAAAAAAAAAACATTAAAATTAAAATAAATAAAAAATGCAAGACTCCAGTCAAAATTAAAATAAAATAAAATAAAATGAATGCATATGCCTCAAGGCATTCTTAGTGGAGTTTTGTTATTATAAGTTATAGGAAATACAAATTGTTTCTCTCTGTGAAGCTAATGATATTTGGGTTTTGAATTGATGCAGCTAATTTATGTACAAGCATTCAACTCACTTGAATGACCATGGGCAAATTATTTAACCTGTGCCTCAGCTGTTTACCTGTAAATGAAGATAAAAGGAACACATGCTTTATAGGATTGCTGTGAATAGAAAATGGAAAGTACTTAGCAAAATGTCTGCCATATAGAAGTGCCAAGTAAATGTTAGCCATTGTTATTGCTAAGAAAGTGTCTCAGAGAGGAACTTACCTGTCACCCTTCTCCCTGGTGTGTTACCTTCACCCCTGAACAGCTCTTTGATGTTGGCTTTGGCAGAAGAGGGTGAGAGGACCCAGAAGGGACAGGGAAATGACAAGAGGGCCCAGAGAGAAGACAAGAGGACCTTACCAATAAGGAAGGAGAAAATGGGGTAAGGGGCAGAGCGGAGGGAAGCAGATGAGCATATAACTAATGACATTCACTGAATTCATTGAAAGGATCTGGCTGGGTGTGGTGGCTCATGCCTGTAATCCCAGTATTTTGGGAGGCCAAGGTGGGCGCATCACAGGTCTGGAGTTTGAGACCAGCCTGGCCAACATAGTAAAATCCTGTCTATACTAAAAATACAAAAAATTAGCGGGGTGTAGTGGCAGGCACCTATAATTCCAACTACTCGGGAGGCAGAGGTTGCAGTGAGCTGAGATAGCGCCATTGCCTTCCAGCCTGGGCGACAGTGCAAGACTCCTTCTCAAAAAAAAAAAAAAAAAAGAAAGAAAAAGAAAGTATCTTATTTCTTTTTTATTTAAAAAGCTTTTTCACTTAATACTGGATACCCCTGGTGTGGCATAATCTATTTTGCACAGAGAAAGCAGGAGAAGAATAGGAAGGAGGAATAGAGGGTGGGAGGGAGGAAGGAAGGGAGGAAAGACACATACTGAAGCTGTCTTTTACCTATTGTAATCTTTGCCACTCTCCACTTAATGCATTTGCTTTTTCCTTAATTTAGTAAGGAAGATGCCTTTGAGTAGGGCTGCTCCATAGAGTATTTTTTAATATAGAACAGATGGCTGAGAGGAGGAAGAGGAAAATATCCTTGGCACATATGCCTATGAATAGGAAGAACTGAAGGGAGAACAAAGGATAAATCAAAGAGAAGGCCAACCTGCTCTAGGACTAGAGCTCAAGAGGAGCATCCAGTGATTTAAAAGAAGTGCTATCACTAATCATCAGGGAAATGCAAATCAAAACCAATGAGGTATCACTCATACCTGTTAAGATGACTTTTATCAAAATAGACCGAGTGTTAGTAAGACTATGGAGAAATTAGAACTCTTGTACATTGTTGGAGGGAATGTAAAGTGGCATGGCCACTATGGAAAACAGTGTGGAGGTTCCTCAGAAAATTAAAAATAGTACTACCATGAGAACCAAGAATCCCACTCCCAAAGAATTTAATCCAACAGAATTGTAATCGGAATATTGAAGTGATACTGGCATTCCCACATTTATTGCAGCATCATTCACAATAACCAAGATATGTAAACAACCCAAATGTCCATCAACGGATGAATAGATAAAGAAAATGTGATCTCGGCTGCTTTCGGCTTGCTTGCCGGCTCAAGATAGTGGACATCTCCCTGGACAAACTCATTAGGAAGCGCGGGGAGGTAGCGACAGGACAGCTTAATGCCAGACCGGGAGTTGGAGGTGTTTGATCTTGAGTTGGGATTCAGCAAGGCCTTCTCAACCAGTCAGCAAGCACAGCCACCTTCCAGCAAAGATTTGATGCCCGGCAGAAGATTGGCCTCGCAGATGTCTGGCTCAAACTGGGAGTCACGGATGCCTGGGAGAAGCTTTTGCAGAAAGATGCCCGGTTTCGGATTAAAGGGAAAGTGCAGGATACCAGAGATATGTTGAACTCTTGTTAGCAGCAGACCACAGTGCCCCAGAAGCCCCGCCAGGTCGCTGATGCCCAGGAGATCACCTGAAGAGGAGTTCACATGCTGCCTTCATGAATCCACCTATTGATAGTGACTCCTGCCCTGAAGCTCACCAAAACCATCCAGGTTCCACAGCAGAAAGCCACCACACCACTTCATCCTCATCCTGCTGGAATGAGAATCAATGTTGTCAATAACCACCAGGCCAAACAGAATTTCCATGACCTGAATGAAGAAGATGTTGGTATAGCTTCCATTCCTGCTAAACAGATGAAGTTTGCAGCCTCAGGGCTTTCTCCACTACATGGCTGCGCTAAGCAGTTCCAAACTTTCCATGTCCAAGGCCTCCCTCTCACCAAAGTGGTTCAGAATGACGCATACACAGCTCCTGCTCTCCCCTCCTCTATTCGAACAAAAGCCTTGACCAACATGCCCCAGACACAGGTGAACAACGAACACTCACACCCTGCAAAGAGCTGCTGCCTGCTGAGCCTGTCCTCAGCCCACAGGCACCAAGATGACTGTGAATAATCTGCACCCTCAGTGAATAATAGTCACTGAGGAGGACATTGTTGAGCTTTTGTGTGTGTGTGGAGCCCTCTCAGCTGGTCCATCCTGGGGTAGTGGAGGTAGTGTTTGTGAAAAAGGACGATGCCATCACTGCATATAAGAAGTACAACAACCGGTGTCTGGACGGGCAGCTGATGAAGTGCACCCTTCACGTGAATGGGAACATTACCACCTCAGACCAGTCCATCCTGCTGCGGCTGAGTGACAGCCCCTCGGTGAAAAAGGAGAGCGAGCTGCCTCACAGGGTGAACACTGCCTCCTCCTCCAACCTCCCTGCCGAAGTGGACCCTGACACCATCCTGAAGGCGCTCTTCAAATCCTCAGGGGCCTCTGTGACCACACAGCCCACAGAATTCAAAATCAAGCTTTGAGCAGGGGAGTGAGGCAGCCAGAAGTGGGGGCAGAGGAGGGTGGCTCTGTTTCCCCAAGGCAAAGCTTGTGACCAATGGGCCATCCGACTGGAGAGCCCTGAACGTGGGCAGGGTCACCGGGGGTAAAGCGCTTCCTCACTGGATGGGACCCGCCTTTCTGTGCTGTGTTCTGCCCTGTGCTCTTCTATATTAACATTTCCTGTAGAATGTTTCTTCGTCTCCATCTCACTGCCAAGGTAGGCTTGTGTTTTTCAGAGAGTGCCTCCCCCAGCCTCAGCCCCAAGCGGATTTCTTATCTGGAAATGGTACACTAAATTCTCTGGGTGGCTTTCTTGTGGCCCCATAGGATGCAGGGCAGGGGCTGTCTGAAGGACCCTGGTTTTTCCAGGCGCCGCGGGGCTGCCTTTCCTTTGTGTATGTTCAGCTTTTCAAACAACTCAGGATGGCAGGGCTTTCCATCCCGACGGGAACCAGGTCGGCCTGAGGGCTGTGCCGCTCCTCTGCTTGGTCAGCGGAGATGCCTGGGTGGGAGCAGGTCTCGGGCCTCTTGTCCTCCCAGTGGCTCCAGGCCTCACTAGTGGCAAGGGCAGGATGAAGCTCACTGCTGGGAAGAGTCTGTCCAAGCTCTTGGCTTGGAGGCCCATGCTGCCTCCACCCAGAGGAAGTTCTCCCGAGTTCACCTTTCCCTTGAATTGTGCTGAATGCCCCAGCCCAGGTCTCTTTTGCTTCTGGGTGTCACTGCTGGGAGGGGAGTTGCGTTGTGAGCTCTCCTTGTTCTCACCTAGCCTGGCAGTCATCACGCCCTGGTTTTGGTGCAGCCAGCACTCCTCTGGTTGGGCCTTTCAAAGGCTCCACCTCCCATTCTGCAACACTGTGGGTTTGGGGCAAATGCAAGAGGTCGGTTTGCTTCTGGCTTTTCATTTCTGGCCTCAGTTTTCTATAGGACAGTGGTCAGGGATGTCCTGAGGCATATATCCAGCTGCCACGCCAGCGTTCCCACTTTTGTGAGTGACCCATCCATCTATGACCAGAGGGATATTTTCCTGCCTTGGCAGAGGAGGAGGCATCAAAGGAGCCAGGCAGCTCCACCAGGCAAGCTGTTTCCCCAGCATAGGCACCAGCAGTTGGCACAAAGCTACAGAGCCCAGGGGCCGTCCCTGAATTACCAGGCTAGTGTTTCCCCTGGTGTCACTGAGTGGTCCACTGCTGGTTTGTTGGGACTGAAGGGAATCCAGGTTGGCAGAGCTGGAGCCAGTTGGGGAGCGGGATTCTGGGAGCACTGCAAAATCAGTTGCAAGTGCTGGGAAAGGCACGTGATGGAGACAGAGTGCCCAAGACTTGCTTGAGGCTAGCTCAGTGAGGAAAAAACAGAAACTCATGTTTCCAGAGGTCAGTCTGTCAGGCAGGAAGGACCCAGGGTTTGAACCCAGCTTCAGTCCTCAGGCTCTGAAGTTGTCCAGGCCAGGAAAGTCCAAGGAAGGGGCCTGGTGGTGCTCCACTTCCAGTTCTTTAAAGATGGGGCTTTTTATTGTCTTAACTTTCAAGTGGGTGCAGACTGAGTTCTTGTTAGCAGCTGGAAGATATTCCTCCTACACTTTCCCCTTCCTGGCGCAGGAGAGCACCCAGAAGGCAGTAGGACCTGTTTTTTCAGGTGCTGGGAACAGGGGGCTCACTGCTTGGACTCTGCTTAGGATTGGGACAGTAAATATCCTGCCACACGGCTTTCCCCTTCCCTCTAATCCCAAAGCTGGTATGTTCTGGTTGTCACAGAGTTTCATTGAGCCCAGCTGCAGCCATCCAGAGCTGGTGCTGTAGGTAATCATCTAGTACATTGAGGGGACCTGTTTGCCTCCTCCGCTGTATAAGCTGTCATCTTGGGAGACAGGAAAGAAAAGGTGGTGGGCCGGTCCTGTGTCCTCCTCTACTTCCCATGCCTCTGTGTTGCCCATCTGTGTTTCTTGTGCAAAAAGAGAGGAAGAGGCATTAAGGGATGAAGGGCGATTATGTATTACTTATCCATTTCTGAATAAAAGTTTGTTATTAAAAAAAAAAAAAAGAAAGAAAGAAAATGTGGTGTGTGTGTGTCTGTGTGTATGTATAGTATTATTCACCATGAAAAAGAAGGAAAGAAATTCTCCAATTTGTGACAACATAGATGAACTTGGAAAACATGCTAAATGAAATAAGCTAGTCATAGAAGGATAAATATTGCATGATTTCACTTATATGAGATATCTAAAATAGCCATACTCAGAAGGATAGACTAGAACAGAGATTGCTAGGGGCAGGGGGAAGGAAGAAAGGGAGAGTTGTTGCTCAAGGTATGTAAAGTTTCAGTGACGCTAAGACAAAAATGTTCTAGAGATCTGCTGTACAGCACAGGTCCTGATATGGTTTGGATGTATCCCTACCCAAATCTCACCTTGAATTGCAATTGTAATAATCCCCACGTGTCAAGGACAGGACCAAGGACCAATTGAATCATGGGGGTGGTTTCCCTCATACTGTTCTCATTGTAGTGAATAAGTCTTACAAGATCTGATGGTTTTAAAAAGGGGAGTTCCCCTGCACACTCTCTTGCCTGCCGCCAGGTAAGACATGACTTTCCTCCTCATTTTGCTTCCACCATGATTGTAAAGCTTCCCCAGTCATGTGGAATGGTGAGTCAATTAAACCTCTTTTCTTTATAAATTACCCAATCTCTAGTGCATCTTTTTTTTTTTTTTTTTTTTTTTTTGAGAGCAAACCACTTTATTGAGGGCAATGGCATGGCAAAGCAGCATGGACAATAAGATCCGATGTCCTCAGCTGGGAACTCTCAGGATCTGCAGTCTCTGAAAGCTCAAGTGCATCTTTGTTAGCATCAGACTAACATAATGCCTATAATTCACAATATGGTGTTATATCCCTAAAAATTGTTAAGAGGGTAGATCTCATGTTAAGAGTTCTTATTACTGGGACACCTCCCACCTACTTACCTTCCCCCACCCTCCCTCCACACACAAAGGGACATGGAAACTTTCAGAGGTGGTGGATATGTTTATTTCCTTGACAGTGGTGATGGTATGGGTGTACACATATATCAAACTTATGGAATTGTATACACGTACTGTGCAGTTTGTATTGTATATCAATTATACTTCAATAAGGCTCTTAAAAAATAAATAAAATCAGGACTACAAAAAATAATCAAATAAAGGAAGTACTGACAGGAAGCACGTGGAAGCAAAAGTTTAATGCAGGATACGTGGGCCAAGAGAACTAGTAATCCCAGGCTGCCCATGGGATGCTTCTCAGACCTCCAGCTCATTGGAGGAGTTTGACTGAGACTTCAACCTGATGAAAGTGACAAAATGGAGGATGGGGTACCGTACACTAGGGATTGAGGGGCTATGAATAAAATCTAAAAAGGCTTCCTTGTCCTTGGCAGGTGGGTACACATGCCATGGCAGGGAAGAATGATCCTGTTTGTCATAGGGCATCATTTTTCATAATAGGGGAAGAGGGTTTTAATCTCTGAGCACTGCTATGAGCATGTCTTTATAAGGAAGAACCTGCCTGCAGAAATGAGCTCTGGTCAGCACTTTTTTGTGTGGAAGGCAGAGCCCAGGCTTCTGCCTGAGAGAAAGCAACTCTGCATAATGTAGGGAAGAGAGTTAGAGCTGACTGGGGGCTTTGGGGAAGAATTGTCAAGATGGACCCCTCAAAGTGGCATTGGTTATAGGAGGAACTATGGGGAGAACTAAATGTTGACATAATTGTATTAAGTTGTTGGCTGAATGATTTGTGTGATACACTCTTTTTACCCTTTATCCTTTCTTTTTCATTATTATTTTCAAGTTCCCGTTGCCCAGGGGTCATTTCCCCTTTCAATCTTTGGTAAAACTTATGTTTCTTTTTGACTTCATTATTGTTGTTATTTTAAATACAGATGGGTTCTCACTATGCAGTCTGCCCTGGTCTCAAACTCTTGGGCTCAAATGATTCTCCTGCCTTGGCCTCCCAAAGTGCTGTGATTATGGGCGTGAGCCACCACACCCAGCCAAAATGTATGTTTCTTATTAATGCTTTATAAGGCATTTTCTTTGTGAGGGCATGGGCGTAATTCTCAGTGCCGCATGGATTGAAATAGACTACACCTGGAGATGGCCAGTTTCAAGTCCACCTTCTCTTAGTCAGTCTGGATTGATCATGTCTTTTCCTCAGAGTCCCTGGGGAAGGAAAGGCACGCAAGAGAGGGACATGAAGGAAAAGAGGACACTGGACATTCTACAACTCCCAGAGGTCAGGCCTGGGGAGCACTTGGCCTGGACTGAAGATGGCCCATGTAGTTTAGAAAGTTTTCCTGCTATGTCAGGCACAGTGGCTCATGGCTGTAATTCCAGCACTTTGGGAGGCAGAGGCAGGTGGATCACCTGAGGTCAGGAGTTCGAGACCATCCTGACCAATATGATCAAACCCAGTCTCCAGTAAAAATACCAAAAAAAAAAAAAAGCCAGGCGTGGTGGCTCATGCCTGTAATCCCAGAACTTTGGGAGGCTGAGGCAGATGGCTCACAAGGTCAAGGGATTGAGACCATTCTGGCCAACATAGTGAAACCCTATCTCTACTAAAAATACAATAAAATTACCTGGGTTTGGTAGTGTGAGCCTGTAGTCCAGCTACTCAGGAGGCTGAGGCAGGAGAATTGCTTGAACCAGGCAGGCAGAGGTTGCAGTGAGCCGAGATTGCACCACTGCACTACAGCCTGGACAACAGAGCAAGACTCCATCTCAAAAAAAATTTTTCTGCTTTGTGGTAATACAAATGGCATATGCATTCACCTGCCAAGCATGGAGAAAGAAACAAAGGGTTTCTTTCCAGGGTTCCTTGTGAAATGTGGAGAATATGCCATAGCTTTCAAGCCAGACTGCCTATATCCTGGTTCCTTTCTGAGTTTACTATTTGCCGGTCCCTAGCCTTTATAAAGTCTTTTTGTTTTCTTTCTCTAACTGTTCTAGCTTGTCTCAGCTGGGCTAGTTCAAGAGAAGAGATTGAATGCCAGATAGATACCAGGGCAACAGCACCTCCCTATGGCTTCGTGGCAGGATAGCAAGAAACATTAGCACCTGGAACTACGCAAGGAAAGGGTTAATTATAAAGGGGATTTGTAGGTGGTATAAGCTTTAGATTTTTATTATCTTTAAGGAAAGTGGTATTTTTCCTTCGGCTGTCACCTGTTGAATGTCACATGGTTACAGACCATGAGTGGAAGTGCAGAAAAAATGAAGAATGAAGATATCCACTAAAGTTTTTTTTTCCTTTTTTTATTATTGTAAATTCACAATTTATAATTGTATAGATTTATGGGTTCTGGGAAGAGGGAGTTGCATGGGGAAAAATTTATGGGGTACAAAATGTTACAATTTATGAATGCAATGTGAAATAATTAAATCAAGCTAGTTAACATCCATCACCTCAAATACTTAACGATTTTTTGTGGCAAGGACATTTGAATTTTACTTAGCAATTTGAAATGCACAACACTCTATTAACTATATTTACCCTGCTGTGCAATAGAATGCACAAAAAGAGAAAACATATTCTTCCTGTTTAAAATTGTATACCCTTTGCTCAGCACCTCTCCATTTCCCCTCCTCCAGCTTCTGTCACCATCATTCTATTCTTCACTTCTATTAAGTTCATTGTTTTAATTCCACATGTAAGTTGCAACAGGTAGTATTTGTCTTTCAGGGCCTGACTTATTTCACTTAGCATAATGTTCTCCAATCTCATCAACATTGTCACAAATTTCAGAATTTCTATCTCTTTCCCTCTCTTTTTTTTTTGAAATGGAGTCTCACTCACTCTTTCATCCAAGCTGGAGTGCATTAGTCCCATCTCAGCTCACTGAAACCTCTGCCTCCCAGGTTCAAGCCATTCTCCTGCCTCAGCCTCCCAAGTAGCTGGGATTACAGGTGTGTACCAACATGCCTGACTAATTTCTGTATTTTTAGTAGAGATGGGGTTTTACCATATTGGCCAGACTGGTTTTGAAGTCCTGACCTCAAGTGATCTGCCCGTCTTGGTCTACCAAAGTGTTGGAATTGCAGGCCTGAGCCAATGCACCCATCCAGAATTTCCTTCTTTTTAAATTAAAGGCTGAATAGTATTCCCTTGTGTATATGTAACACATAATACCCAGAAGTAGGTTTCTAGATCATGTGTTAATTCTATTTTTAGTTAGTTTTTTTTTTTTTTTTTGGTGTGGGGGGGATTCTCCATATTGTTTTTTATAATGGCTACACCAATTTACATTTCCACCAACAGTGTACCAGTGTTTCCTTTACATCCTCAACAACACTTATCTTTTGGTTTTCATTTGAAAACATTGTTTTGAAATAAAGTACAGAATGATTAAAAATATAATAATAAACATTTTTAAAAGACATTCTGACAGGTGAGAGATTATATCTCATTGTGGTTTTAATTTGCATTTCTCTAATGATTAATGATGCTGAGCATTTTTTTCAGTATCTGTTGGCTATTTACATGTCTTCTTTTGAAAAATGTTTTTATCACTGGAATGCAAGGATGGTTCAACATATGCAAATCAATAAATGTGACATGCCACATTAACAGAAAGACAAAAACCATATAATCATCTCTATTAGATGCCAAAAATCATTTAATAAAATTTATTGTCATTTTATGATAAAAACTCTCTATCTTTCATTTTCTAGGCAGGGAGTGAAAGCAAGAGAGAGTGAGTGAGAGAGAAAGATTACCTAAAAAAAAGTTCACCAAAGGGCATATACCTCTTCTAGGATACCCTTGAGTGCAAATTTAAAAAAAGAAATGTAAGGCTGGGTGCAGGGACTCATGCCTATAATCCCAGCAATTTGGGAGGCCAAGGCAGGCAGAGCACTTGAGGTCAGGAGTTTGAGACCAGTTATGCCACTGCACTCCAGCCTGGGTGACAGAGTAAGATTTCATTTCAAAAAAAAAAAGAAAAGAAAAAGAAATGAAATGTAACTCAACACAATAAAGGTCATGTATGAGAAGCCCACAGCTAACATTACACTCAAAGCCTGTAAGATCTGGAACAAGACTAGGATTTTTGCTGTTTTAGTCTGTTTCTATTGCTCAATAAAATACCTGAGCCCAGGTAATTTATAAAGAAACAAGGTTTATTTGGCTCCTTTTTCTGCAGGCTGTACAAGCATTGTGCCAAATCCACTTCTGGTAAGAGCCTCAGGAAGCTTCCACACATGGTGGAAATTGAAGGGGAGCCAGAATATACCAATTACATGGTGAGAGAGTGGAAGCAAGAGAGAAAAGTAGGAGGAGGTGACAGGATCTTTTCAACAATCAGCTCTTGGTTTGTTGCAGTGGCTCATGCCTGTAATCCAAGCACTTTGAGAGGGTGAGAGGGAAAGATCACCTGAGCCCAAGAATTCAAGAGCAACCAGCCTGGGAAAAAAAAGTGAGACTCTAACACACTGGTTAAGTAAAAAAATAAAAAATAAAAAGTGAGACTCAGCTGGGCGTGGTGGCTCATGCCTATAATCCCAACACTTTGAGAGGCCAAGGTGGGTGATCACAAGATCAGGAGTTGGAGACCAGCCTGACCAACATGGTGAAACCCTATCTCTACTAAAGATACAAAAATTAGCTAGGCATCATGGTGCGCGCCTGTAATGCCAGCTATTCAGGAGGCTGAGGCAGGAGGATTGATTGAACCTGCAAGGTGGAGGCTGCAGCGAGCCAAGATCATGCCATTGCACTCTAGCCTGGGCAACAGGGCAAGACTCCATCTCAAAAAAAAAAAAAAAAAGTGAGACTCAATCTCTAGAAAAAAAGTTAAAAAATTAACCAGTCTCTGCAGGAATTGGGTATGAAAGAAAAAAAAATTAAAAAAGAGAAGAAAAAGAAAAAAAAAATTAACCAGTCATGGTGGTGTGTGCCTGTGGTCCAAACTACCTGGAAGACTAAGGTGGGAGGATCCCTTCAGCTCAGGAGGTCAAAGCTACAGTGAGTTATGATTGTGCCACTGCATTCCAGCCTGGGCAACAGAGTGATACCCTGTCTAAAAAAAAAAGTAAATTTGTAAACAAAATTTTTTAATAAATTATCTCTTGTGAAAACAAAGAGTGAGAACTCACTCATTATTGCAAGGATAACCCTAAGCTATTCATAAATGATCTGTCCCATTATCCAAACACCTCCTACCAGGCCCCACCTTTAACACTGGGAATCGAATTCCAACATGAGATTTGGTGGCCAAACAAATCATATCAAACCATAGGACCTACTCTCCCACTTCTGTTCAACATAGTATTGAAGTCCTCGCTAGAGCAATTAGGCAAGAAAAAGAAATAAGAGCCATCCAAATAGGAAAATAAGTGAAATTGCCACTGTTTGCTGATGGCATAATCTTATATGTGGAAAACCCTGTGGACTTCAGCAAAAAGCTGTTAAACCTCATAAGTGAATACAGTAAAGTTGCATGATACAAATCAACAGACAAAAAAATCAGTACCTTGCTTTTGATTAGTGTCAATATGTTAAACATTTACAAGAAAAAAAGAAATATCAGTGACATTTCTATACACTAACAACAAACTTTCTGGAACCCAGGGTTGTCAAAAAAAGAAATAACAAACTATTCAAAAAAGGAACAAAGGGAACAATCACATTCACAAAAAAAATTTTTTAATTAGAAATAAATTGACCAGGTAGGTGTTAAAATCTGTACTAACCAAAGCGACCTGCAGATTCAGTTGCAATCCCTATGAAAATCCCAACATCTCCCCTTTGCTGACTTCTTTGGTAAAGCAGTAAAAGAAAAGAAAAGAAAATCCCAACATCTACTCTTGCACCAACCTAAGTTAAAAAAAAAGAAAAGAAAATCCTAACATTAATTTTTATAGAAATAGAAAAAAAACTAGCCTGTAATCCCAGCACTTTGGGAGGCCAAGGTGAAAAAACTGCTTGAGCCAAGTAGTTCATCTCTACCAAAAAAAAATTAGCCAGGCCTGGAGTACCAGCTATTCCAGGGACTGAGGTAGGAGGATTGTTTGTTTGAACCCAGGAGGTTGAGGCTGCAGTGAGCCATGATTGTGACACTGCACTCCGGCCCAGAAAAGACAGTGAGACCCTATCTAAAAAAAAAAAAAAAATGTCCTTTTCAGGGACATGAATGAAGCTGGAAACCATCATCCTCAGCAAACTAACACAGGAACAGAAAACCAAACACCACATGTTCTCATTCAGAAGTGGGAGATGAACAATGAGAACGTGTGGACACAGGAATAGGAACATCACATACCACGGCCTGTGCAGGGTCGGCAGGGACATAGGGGGAAAGGGGAAGGAGAGCTTTAGGACAAATACCTAATGCATGTGGGGCTTAAACCCTAGATGACAGGTTGGTGCAACAAACCACCATGGCACATGTATGCCTATGTAACAAACCTGCACATTCCACACATGTATCTCAGAACTTAAAGTAAAATAAAAATAAAAATTAAACAAAAACTTTTAAAAATTAATATTAAATTGCAAAAAAAAGCTGAGGAAATTATGAGCAAAAAGAACAAAGTTGGAGGTATTTGCTTCAGAGCTCTCTGAAGTTGACAAAACTCATATCACACTACCTGATTTTAAACTATACTATGAAGCTATACTAAGAGAAACAGAATGGAATTGACAAGAAAAAGATATATCAACAAATGGAACAGAATAGAGCCCAGAGATGAATCTAACTGATTTTCAACAAATATGCCAAGAAGACAGTTTTATTCAATAAATGGTGTAGGGAAAACTGAATTTCCTCAAACAGGAAAATAAAATTGTACCCTTATTTCAATACCATATACCAAATTCAACTCAAGATGGATTAAAAACTTAAACATTCCTATATTAGTTTGCTCAGGAAAATTGTGAAACAAGAAAGAAAGAAAGAAAGAAAGAAAGAAAGAAAGACTGACTTAAACATAAAATCAAGAACCCTAAAACTACTTGAAGAAAATATAGAGGATTTAAAAAAAAAAAAAAAAAAACAATGAAAATGCTTAGGAACTGCTGTGTAATTAAAAAAAAAAAAAAAAAAAAAAAAAAAGATTTGGCTGTGAACCGAAAATAAAATAATATAAATAATAATAATAAAGAAAATGCTTAGGAACTGATGAAAAAAGAAGAAGAGAAAATATATAGGATCAGATGATGACAGCCAGAAAGAAAAGAAGAAAAAGAAAGAAAGAAAGAAAGAAAGAAAGAAAGAAAGAAAAAAAGAAAGAAAGAAAGAAAAGAAAGAAAAAGAAAGAAAGAAAGAAGGAAAAGGGGAAACATACAAGAATTGGTCTGGGTAATGATTTTTTGGATTACAACAAAAATGGACAACAAAATTAAATATAGGCAAATAGTGTTACATCAAACTAAAAAACTTCTGCACAGTTCATGATGTGTATCTAAAACAAACAAACTAAAAAGCTTCTGAACAGAAAGGAAATAATCACCAGAGTCAAGAGACAACCTATGAAATGGGAGAAAATATTTGCAAGCCAGATATTTGATAAGGGGTTAATATCCAACACACATAAGAAGCTCAAAGAACTCAATAGCAACAAAACAAAAAAAAGCAATTAAGGCCTGCTTTCTGCTAAGCAAGTCTTCTTTCTTATCCCCCCCTAATAAGAAGGAAGAAAAAGGGGTAACTCCTCGTTAGTATAGTGGTAAAATTTAAACATTAAAAAAGTTTTGAGGCCAGCTCGGTGGCTCACATCTGTAATCCCAGCACTTTTGAAGGCCAAGGTGGGCTGATCGCCTGAGCCCAGTTAGAGACCAGCCTGGGAAACATGGCAAACACTGTCTCTCAAAAAAAGAAAGAAAAAAAAAAATTAGCTCTGATCCAGTCTAGTGCCAAGCTAATATAAAATAAAAAAAAAATTAGCTGGACTTGAGCCCTGTTTGTGTCACTGCACTTGAGCCTGGGCGACAGAGTGAGAATCTGCCTCAAAAAAAAAAAAAAAAAAAAAAGCTTTGAGTTGTAAAAATGGGTCAGATCAAAAGAAAAGGAAAAAAAATGCATAAGGAACCTGAATAGCCATGAACCCATTTTGGCACAAAGACTTTATCATATGCAGCCATTTTTTTGGTAAATTATTTCTTGTTAAGCCCTCAGATATAAAAGAGTGATTTGCTTCACCTGAATACATGACAAGAAAATGCTGAAATCAATATATAAATCAAATCATCTGTTAATCTGAAAGACAGTGGTTGCATAGAGAAGAGCAAGAATTTAGACCAGCTTATCGAAGTGGGAAAAGAAAAATAAAAAGAGCCTCAGAGGTAGGCTTTACCTCTTAAAAAAGTTAAAAACATTATCCTGAGAGTGACAGTGTGTTAAAAAAAAAAAAAAAAAGGATAAAAAAGATTAAAAACATCTAAGTCACTGTGTTGTGCTTGAGAGTTAGCAGCCAAAAACAAACTCAAAAAGAAGTCGCCATCTGTGAAAGAAAAAGAAAAAATATAAAGACTTCGCATCCATTTAAGTATGCAGAAAAAGGAAACAATTTTTTAAAATAAAGTGGGTATAGTTGGGAGCTTAGCAATGGATATACAGAATGGAGTAAGATACCATGGCTCCAAAAGGTGGGGGGATGGGAGCGGGGTAAGGAATGAAATCCTACCTATTGAGTACCATGTTCACTATCCTGGTGAGTATGCTACGCAATATACTTCACTGCTATGGAATATATCAAAGCAACAAAACTGCACTGTACTCCTAAATCTATAAAAATAAAAAATTATCTTGGCTTAGACTGCTTTAAAAAATATAAAAATAAAAATTTAAAAAAGATGGCAAGTCACTAATAAAAAAAGTAACCAGTCACTGACCTAGGTTAAAATACAAAAGAAAAACTCAAGATGGATTAAAGAAATTAAAATTAAATTTAAAAAAAGGAAGATCTGCAGGAACTGGGTATGAAAAAATTTAAAAAAAAAAATAAAGAAAAAACTTGTAGGGATTTGCACTAGCATAGGTATAAAAAATTAAAAAAAAAACAAAAAACAAAAAACTTGGGATTTCCAATGCCAGCAAACCATGAACTATGAGAGTATATTTAGCAATCATAGTAATTTAGCTCATGGTAATTGGCATATGTATAATTATAATTTGCATTCCAGTTATTTAAACTGAGATATTCTTGATCAGGTTGAACACATGGTGAGTAGAATATCTCTTTCCCCAAGAAATAAGATGGAGAGAGTCTTTGGAGAATGGCCTCACTGAACTGGTAAGTCAACTTCCTCCGGATTTTAGTAATTTCCCCACTTCTTCCATAATTTCTCAGTGCCCTGGCCATTTTCTGGTAAGTCATGGTCTTCCGGTTGCCCTTTCTTTTTCCCCAAAGCTCGGCAAGTTTTTCTTTGTTTTTTGACACAAATTGAAAAATGCCTTTGGTTTTATCTACCCACTGAATACAAGATGCCATCTCGGGATTACACAGGGATTCGTGAAGGTATTCAAACAGTCGGAGCTTCTTCCTGCCTAAAATGAAGGGAAGCAAGGTCAAACTCCACCGTGGATGGACAGCGAGAACAGCTTCAGGAGGGGTTTGCTGAGTAACTACCGCGCAGCATTGAGACTGGTTTTTCTCCTACTCACTGCCCTTACGAATGCATGATGGCATCATTTTATGGGACTCCAAGGTCAAAGATCTATTTGGTCTATTGAAGTTTCAACTGGATCTTCTTTGTTGGAGGAGTTAAGAATGTTGTCCAGCCAGGCGAGGTGGCTCACGCCTGTAATCCCAACACTTTGGGAGGCCGAGGTGGGTGGATCACTCGAGGTCAGGATTTCACCAGTTTGACTTGGTGAAACCTTGTCTCTACTAAAAATACAAAAATTAGCCAGGCGTGGTGGCATGCGCCTGCCATCCCAGCTACTCGGTACTCGGGAGGCTGAGGCAGGAGAATCTTTTGAGGGGAAGGTTGCAGTGAGCCGAAATTGCACCACTGCACTCTAGCCTGGGAAACAGAGGGGGACTCTGACTTAAAAAACTTTCTACAGAACAAGAACACTGAGCAAAATGGACCACAAAGTTTAGCAGTTGTGATGCGAAACCTCAAAAAGCCATCTCCAAAAAGCAAGTCATTTGAAGGGGCTTTATTCAAATGAGTTAAGGGATGTAAATGCACTTTGTAAAATGCAAAATAGAATGCAAATATATTAGGAAAATTAATGTCAAAGACCTAAGTAAAAATGCTAACTCTGTGTCTGCACAGTTACTTGAGAAATAGAAAAGAAGAAAAACTCAAATGGAAATGCCACAAATGTTTTTATATCACTTTAACATTATTTATTTAACAATGCAGTGGCCAATGTGATATTTCTCATTGTTGTGAAATAAAACAGTACCACTAGAATTTTTATCTTTTTAGGAACACAGCCATTTATATTTCAAAATAACTAGGCAGGAAATTTTGAGAGAATCTGTGTGGTTTTTGCTCAGTTGATAGGATTTCTTTTGCCTAACAGCTCAGGAGAACACAAGTGACAGTCCATTTTGTGACTTCTGAGTTAGCCTATAAATAAATACTGTGCTCTGTCAGATCTGTCAGTAGCTACAAAATTTGCAGTCAAATTCCATTTTCCCTTGAGGAGGTACAATAGTGGATTCCCAAACTGCTTTAAATAGTCTCTGGGGAATAATACTCTTGAATGATGCATTTATCAGTCATCCAAAGACCTCCAACATTTTTATAAAGATTATCTTTTGTATTATATTATCTTGAATTTATGAATTGAGAAATAAAAGGGACTTACCAAAACACACATCATGAATTAAAGTCACAGCTTAAACAAAACTCTTCTACCTCTCTGATTTTACAGACTTATGGGCAAAATAAAAAGAGAAAAAAATAAAAAAAAAACAAAACTCTTCTGCCTCTTATTCAGTGATCAAGTTGGTCTGAGTGGATCATCTTTTAAAGTTTTCTGTATTATTTTAATGTTTAAATTTTTATTCTTTAAAAATAAGGTATTATATACTCATAGTAAAAGACTCAAACCACAGTACAAACTGAAAGTAAAAGTGCCAGTGTATTTTACATATTTCTTGAAGGTTTTCTCTGAATTTACATGCACAAATACATACATATCCTTTGAAATTACAAATGGGATTATACTCTTGTCCTTTTTTCAGTATATAATATGGCTTAAGTAAATTCTGGGCACGGTGGCTCAGCCTGTAATCCCAGCACTTTGGCAGGCCAAGGTGGGCAGATCACTTGAGGTCAGGAGACCAGCCAGGCCAATGTGGTGAAACTGTCTCTACAAAAAATTAGCCAGGCATGGTGGTGAGTGCCTGTAATCCCAGCTACTGGGGAGGCTGAGGTGGGAGGATCGCTTGAGCCCAGGAGTTGGAAGTTGTAGTGACCCGAGATCCAGCCACTGCACTCCAGCCTGGGCTACAGAGTGAAATTCCAACTCAAAAAAAATATTAATAAATAAATAAATAAAATATATAGTTGAGGGAGTCTCTCTGAACCTATTCTGGTTCAGGGAGCCTACCTGATTTGCTTAAAAAAAAAATTATTGGCTGGGCACAGTGGCTCATGCCTGTAATCCCAGCACTTTGGGAGGCCAAGGCAGGCGAATCACTTGAGGCCAGGAGTTCAAGATCAGCCTGGCCAACATGGTAAAACCCTGTCTCTACCAAAAAATATAAAAAATTAGCTGGGTGTGGTGGTGGCGCCTGTATTCCCAGCTACTCTGGAGGCTAAGGCAGGAGAATTGCTTGAACCCAGGAGGTGAAGATTGCAGTGAGCCAAGTCATGCCACTGCACTCCAGCCTGGGCGAAAGAGTGAGACTTGGTCTCAAATAATAATAATAATAATAATAATAATATAGGGGCCGGATACCATGGCTCACCCGTGTAATCCTAACACTTTGGGAGGCCCAGGTGGGTGGATCACCTGAGGTCAGAAGTTTGAGACCAGCCTGGCCAACGTAGTGAAACCTTGTCTCTACTAAAAATGCAAAACTTAACCAGGTGTGGTGGGTGGTGCAACCTGTAGTACCAGCTACTCAGGAGGCTGAGGCCAGAGAATCCCTTGAACCTGGGAGTTGCAGGTTGAGGGAATGTCTCTGAACCTATTTTAGTTCAGAGGGCTGCCTGATTCGCATTTTAAAAAAATTATATGGCTGGGTGTGGTGGCTCACGTCTGTAATCCCAGCACTTTGGGAGGCCTAGGAGATCACACCACTGCATTCCAGCCTGGGCGACAAGAGTGAAACTCCGTCTCAAAAAAAAAAAAAAGAATTATAGGTGGTAAGCAGTTCCACAAGATGACAGTGGAGCTGAAAAATTCCTATCATGTAGTATCTACTACATATACTTTTTATCATTATTTTGGACTGTACTCCTTCTACTTAGTTTTCTCTTAAAGTTTACTACAAAACAATCAACAAATAGTTAAAACAAAAATAAAAACAAAACCCAAAAAATAAAAAGTTAACTGTGCAACAGCCTGAGGCAGGTTCTTCAGCAGGTATTCCAGAAGGCACTGTTATAGGAGGTGACAGCTCCATGTGTTATTGTCCCTGAAGACCTTCCAGTGGGACAAGATGTGGAGGTGGAAGACAGTGATAGTGATGATCCTGACACTGTCACTCCTGGGCTAATGTGTGTTTGTGTCTCCGTTTTTAACAAAATAAGTTCAAAAAGCAAAAATAAAAATAAAAATAATTAAAAATAGAAGACTGGGTGTGGTGGCTCACACCTATAATCCCATCACTTTGGATCGCTTGAATCCAGGAGTTTCAGACCCAGCCTGGGCGACAGAAGGAGACTCTATCTTTAAATAAATAAATAAATAAATAAATGGAAGTCTCACCCAAGATGAATGGCTTGGAGTGGTTCAATAAGTCAGAGTTAAATTACTCTCAATTGTGATAAGAAAATATTTTGCAAATACAATTCCAAACTCAGATATAAAATCCCTTTAAAGCTGCTAAGAGGAACATCTGGTTCTTTTACCCATATAACAAATGAAGGCTCAACATACCTTTTCCCCGCTTTTGCTGGAGAATAGTGGGTTGTATCAGCTGGTTTTCAGTTATGTTCTGCAGAGATTGATGAATATTTCCTTCAAAATAGAAGTCCGCAGCATTGTTCTACATAAATAATTCAGCAGGATATTAAGTGAGACTTTCCCTGTGGCCCCCTATTATAGGCTGAAATCAAAAGCTAGGGCCAAAAAGAGGCTAAGCATCTCCCAGATTGTAAAAGGAATTACCTCCAACTGCAGCCAGATAGCTCCCAGGGCAGCACAAGCATCAAACCCACATAAGGAGAGGACCAGGGGACAGAGGGTAATCTTTGGCTTTGTGAGGAGTGTCCTACCCTCCCTACAAAAAAAGAAGGGATTGCTTAAAGTCTGTGGTACCAGCAGAAAAGGAAGATGGGCTTTCGTTCCTGTGTTGGATGCCCATGTAGGCAAGAAGAGATAAAAAAAGAAAGATGTCAGTAGGCAGCTAGGAAGATGAAATAAAATGAGTGGCTGGGCATGGTGGCTCATGCCTGTAATCCAAGCACTTTGGAGGCCAAGGTGGGAGTTCAAGACCAGCCTGACCAACATGGTGAAACCCCATGTCTATAAAAAAATAAAAAAAAATAAAATAAAATGAGTAATGAAAACAATAAAAATTTTAAAACAAAAGAAAAGGGCAGAGCACAGTGTCACATCTCAACAAATTGGGAAGCCAAGGCAGGAGAATCACTAGAGCCCAGAAGTTCAAGACCAGCCTGGCCATCATGGTGAAACCCCATCTTATTTAAAAAAAAAAGGGTTTGAAACCAGCCTGGCCAGCATGGTGAAACCCTGCCTCTACTAAAAGTACAAAAAAATTGGCTGGGTGTGGTGGCTCACACCTGTAACCCCAACACTTTGGGAAGCTGAGGTGGGTGGATGAGGTCAGGAGGCCAACACAGTGAAAACCTCTATTTACTAAAAATACAAAAATTAGCTTGGCATGGTGGCAGGTGCCTATAATCCCAGCTAGCTACGCAGGAAGCTGAGGCAGGAGAATCACTTGAACCTGGGAGGCAGAGGTTGCAGCGAGCCGAGAGGTTGCAGTGAGCCATTGCACTCCAGCCTGGGTGACAAAAGTGAAACTGTGTCAAAAAAAAAAAAATTAGCTAGACATGGTGGTGGGCACCCATAATTCTAGCTACTTGAGAGGCTGAGGTAGGAGAATTCCTTGAACCCAGGAAGCAGAGGTTACAGTCAGCTGAGATGGTGCCATTGCACTCCAGCCTGGGCAACGAAGCAAAACAAACAAACAAACAAAAAACTCCATCTCAAATAACAATAATAATTTAAATTAAAAAATTAGCCAGGTGTGGTGGTACATGCTTGTAGTCCCAGCTACTTGGGAAGCTGAGGCAGGAGGATCACTTGACCCCAGGAATTTGACGCTTTGGTCAGCTATGACTGCACCACTGCACTCCAGCCTAGGTGGGAGAATAATACCCTGTCTTAAAAAAAAATAAAGAAAGATGGCAGCCAAGGGAAGGCAGAACAAAGAAGGGACAGGAAGAAGCAACCCAAGTGCCTACCATTTACATATGGCAAGGATATGTGGATCTCCAAGGGTTAATTAGATACCAGGAAGGGGTTGGGCTTGAGCTGTCTTTCCACACCCCAATCAAGAGGGCTGACCAGGAGGCAAGGAGTCCCCAGGCATAAGAGGCTGTGACGTGCGTGTTAGAAAATGGGAGTTGAAGTAGAAAGTAGAGTTGCCAGACTTAGCAAAAAAAAAAATATTGGGCATCTTGCATTTTACCTAGCAACCCTAAGAGGATGTGGAAGAAGTTAAGCTGGAACCAAAGGAGCCTCTTTTTAAAATTTTAATTTATAATCCCAGCACTTTGGGAGGCCGAGGTGGGTGGATCACGAGGTCAAGAGATCGAGACCATCCTGGTCAACGTGGTGAAACCCCGTCTCTACTAAAAATACAAAAAATTAGCTGGGCATGGTGGTGCATGCCTGTAGTCCCAGCTACTTGGGAGGCTGAGGCAGGAGAATTGCTTGAACCCAGGAGACAGAAGTTGCTGTGAGCTGAGATCGTGCCATTGCACTCCAGCCTGGGTAACAAGAGCGAAACTCTGTCTCAAAAAATAAAATAAAATTTTAATTTAATTTTTTTTTTGAGGCAGGGTCTTGATCTTTTGCCCAGACTGGAGTGCAGTGGTGTGATCACAGATCACTGCATCCTCAACCTACTGGGCCCAATCAATCCTCCCACCTCAGCCTCCAAAGTAGCAGGGACCATGGGTGCATGCCACTATGCCTGGCTAATTTCTCTTTCTTTTTTTTTTTGAGATGGAGTTTTGCTCTTGTTACCCAGGCTGGAATGCATGGGGTGATCTCGGCTCACCACAACCTTGGCCTCCTGGTTTTAAGTGATTCTCCTGCCTCAGCCTCTGGAATAGCTGGGATTATAGGCATACACCACCACATCTGGCTAATTTTTTGTATTTTTAGTAGAGACAGGGTGTCTTCATGTTGGTCAGGCTGGTCTTGAACTCCCAATCTCAGGCGATCTGCCCACCTCGGCCTCCCAAAGTGCTGGGATTTCAGGTCTGAGCCACCACTCCCAGCTGGCTAATTTTTATTTATTTGTTTATTTATTTTTGTAGAGACAAGGTCTTGTTGGGTTGCCCAGGCTGATCTCAAACTCAGGCTCAAGTGATTCTTCCTCCTTAGCTTCCCAAAACTTTGGGATTACAGGTGTGAGCCACTGTATCCAGCCCAAAGCACTCTCTTTTAAGAGAGTGCACTGTCTTGTGGAGAGGCCCCAAAGGAACAATTTATAGGAACTAAAAAAAAGGATATTTGACATAATGCGATTGAAGATAGTGACTGAAGAAAAATAAAAACCAATTCATATTTATACCCCATCTCACGAAGACCGCTTGATAAAATGGATGCGTGAAGAAAACAACTCAAAGAATACATGAATGGGGAGATGGCAGGGACATTTCCCTTTGCAGGTGCTGCTATTAACAAAATGTCAATTAATTGGTTCAATACATACAGATAACACTGAGCTTGACAGGGAAAACAGAGTAGGCTAATACAAGACAGTAGGTAAAGTCAGTGCAGGGGATGTTTCAACTTTTGCCCTGTGGCTTTTAGGGGAAAGTTTTTTGCAGTTTCCCAGATGGACTAAGGAGAAGCAGTTGATGTGAAAACCCTGAAAACACCTCCTCTTTAAAGAAGTCATTCAAACCAGTCTGAGGCTAAGTAGAGAACAATGATGAAGCGGCATTTCCTTCCTGACAGCATATGATCTTCCACACTGTCAACTTGAGTATAGTGGATGGCCCTTTGGTTAGGAAGAATTAATATCATGAAAATGGCCATACTGCCCAAATTAATCTGTAGATTCAATGCTATCCCCATCAAGCTACTGATGACCTTCTTCACAGAGCTGGAAAAAACCAGTTTAAACTTCATATGGAATCACAAGAGAGCCCGCATACCCAAGACAATCCTAAGCAAAAAGAACAAAGCCAGAGACATCACACTACCAGACTTCAAACTATACTACAAGACTACAGTAATGAAAACAGCATGGTACTGGTACCAAAACAGAGACATAGACCAATGGAACAGAACAGAGGCCCCAGAAGCAACACCACACATCTACAACCATCTGATCTTTGACAAACCTGACAAAAACAAGCAACAGGGAAAGGACTCCATGTTTAATAAATGGTGTTGGGAAAACTGGCTAACCATGTGCAGAAAGTAGAAACTGGACACCTTCCTGACACCTTACACTAAAATTAACTCCAGATGTTAAAGATTTAAACATAAAACCTAACACCATAAAAATACTAGAAGAAAATGTAGGCAAAACCATCCAGGACATAGGCATAGGCAAGGACTTCATGACTAAAACACCAAAAGCAATGGCAATAAAAGCCAAGATAGACAAATGGGATCTAATTAAAATTCAGAGCTTCTGTACAGCAAAAGAAACCATCATTAGAGTGAACTGGAAACCAACAGAATGGGAAAAAGTTTTTGTAATCTACCCCTCTGACAAAGGGCTAATAGCCAGAATCTACAAAAAACTAAAACAGATACATAAGAAAAAAACAACCCATTCAAAAGTGGGCAAAGGATATGACCAGACACTTTTCAAAAGAAGACATATATGAGGCCAACAAAAATATGAAAAAATGCTCATCATCACTGGTCATTAGAGAAATGCCAATCAAAACTACATTGAGATACCATCTCACGCCAGTTAGAATGGTGATCATTAAAAAATCTGAAGACAACAGATGCTGGAGAGGATATGGAGAAATAGGAACACTCTTACACAGTCGGTGAGAGTGTAAATTAATTCAGCCATTGTGGAAGACAGTGTGGCTATTTCTCAAGAATCTAGAAATAGAAATTCCATTTGACCCAGCAATCCCATTACTGGGTATATACCCAAATAACTATAAATTGTTCTACTATAAAGACACATGCACATGTATGTTCATTGCAGCCCTGTGTACAATAGCAAAGACCTGGAATCAACCCAAATGCCCATCAATGATAGACTGGACAAAGAAAATGTGGTACATATACACCATGGAATACTATGCAGCCATAAAAAATGATGAGTTCAGCTGGGCGCGGTGGCTCACGCCTGTAATCCCAGCACTTTGGGAGGCCGAGGCAGGTGGATCACGAGGTCAACAGATCGAGACCATCCTGGTCAACATGGTGAAACCCCGTCTCTACTAAAAATACAAAAAATTAGCTGGGCATGGTGGCACGTGCCTGTAATCCCAGCTACTCAGGAGGCTGAGGCAGGAGAATTGCCTGAACCCAGGAGGCAGAGGTTGCGGTGAGCCGAGATGGCGCCATTGCACTCCAGCCTGGGTAACAAGAGCGAAACTCCGTCTCAAAAAAAAAAAAAAAAAAAAATGATGAGTTCATGTCCTTTGTAGGGACTTGGATGAATCTGGAAACCATCATTCTCAGCAAACTGACACAAGAACAGAAGGCCAAATACTGCATGTTCTTACTCATAGGTGGGTGTTGAGCAATGAGAACACGTGGACTCAGTAAGAGGAGCATCACACACTGGGGGCAGTTGGGAGGGTAGGGGAGGGAGAGTGGGGGATGGGGAGGGTGGGGAGGGATAACATGGGGAGAAACGCCAGATATAGTATGCACCTAAAGTAAAATGAAACTTTAAAAAAAAGCATTTTCAGGCAGGGCCCAAGGTGGCTCACACCTGTAATCCTAACACTTTGGGAGGCTGATGCGGGTGGATCACGTGAAGTCAGGAGTTCGACTTGGCCAACATAGTGAAACCCTACTCCACTAAAAATACAAAAATTTGCTGGGCATAGTAGTGCATGCCTGTAATCCCAGCTACTTGGGAGGCTGAGGCAGGAGAATCTTTTGAACCTGGGAGGCAGTTCAAGTGCAGTGAGCTGAGATCATGTCATTGCACTGCAGCCTGGGCAACAGAGCCAGACTCCATTTCAAAAAAGAAAAAAGCATTTTTATAATCAATGCTGTCTTGAATTGGGTTTCTAACAGTGTATGTGAAATGGAAGGCTAGCAAGAATAGGGTATTTGCCTGTTACTAAGGGATTGTTTGATACTTACAATTACCGTTCTCCAATTATAGACAGGCTCCTCTGTAGGCAACACTCCATAGCAGCTGGAATTTCCTTTGACATAAGCACGATGGTTGATTAAAGCCAGGTAATTTTTGTAATCTAATTTAAAAGCAGAGAAAGAAACTAAAAAAGTCAAAGTTTGTATCTGTGCACATAAATATGTGTGTGTGTGTGTGTGTGTGTGTGTATATATATATGCACTTACAGATGCAATTGCTCTTGTATATGTTTTCTTGTCACTTTGCACTTCTCCTGTGGTGTTTATCCCATTATGCTGCTATTATGGATACTCTTTTTTTTTTGAGACGGAGTTTTACTGTTGTTACCCAGAGTGGAGTGCAATGGCACGATCTCGGCTCACTGCAACCTCCGCCTCCTGGGTTCAAGCAATTCTCCTGCCTCAGCCTCCTCAGTAGCTGGAACTAAAGGCGCGCACCAACATGCCCAGCTAATTTTTGTATTTTTAGTAGAAACGGGGTTTCACCTTGTTGACCAGGATGGTCTCGATCTCTTGACCTTGTGATCCACCCGCCTCGGCCTCCCGAAGTGCTGGGATTATAGGCGTGAGCCACCATGCCCAGCCCGAATACTCTTATACATATCCCATTTGGAGTACATGCTCCTTGCAGGCTGAGACCCCATGATTTCTTTTGTTGTTGTTGTTGTTTTTGAGATGGAGTTTTGCTCCTGTTGTCAAGGCTGGAGTGCAAGCAGCATGAGCTCGGCTCACCGAAATCTCCTCCTCCTGGGTTCAAGTGATTCTCTTGCCTCAACCTCCCAAGTAACTGGGATTACAGGCATGTGCCACCACACCCGGCTAATTTTTGTATTTTTAGTAAAGATGGGGTTTCTCTAAGTGGAATTATGGGTGTGATCCACTGTGCCTGGCCGGCATGATTTATTTTATCTTGGAATACTCTGTTATACCCTATGTAAACTTAATACACAACATATTTACATCCTATTTAGACTATTTAGTCCATAAGATAATGGGTGAGGAATGATAAAAATACTTATTCTTCCAAGTAGAATAATCTTGCTGGGTGGGTAGAAGGTCTATGAGATTAATTAGAATAATTTAGAAGCTGGCTGGGCGTGGTGGCTCAAGCCTGTAATCCAAGCACTTTGGAGGCCAAGGTGGGCGGATCACCTGAGGTCAGGAGTTCAAGATCAGCCTGACCAACATGGTGAAACCCCGTCTTTAAAAAAAAAATAGAATAATTTAGAAGCCTTTTGTGAATAGTTAAAATGAACTGTCGGCCAGGCTGGGAGGCTCACACCTGTAATCCCAACACTTTGGGAGGCTGAGGCAGCTGGATCATGAGGTCAAGAGTTTGAGACTAGCCTGACCAACATGGTAAAACCCTGTCTCTACTAAAAATACAAAAATTAGCCAGGAATGGTGGCACATATCTGTAATCCCAGTTACTCAGAAGGCTGAGGCAGGAGAATTGCTTGAACCTGGGAGACAGAGGTTGCAGTGAGCTGAGATCAGGCCACTGCACTCCAGCCTGGGTGACAGAGCAAGACTCTGTCTCAAATAATAACAATAATAATAATAATAATAAACTATTAGATAAATAAATGTCAACCAGATATTTCTAATAGCAGGTAATTATGTATCTTTGTATTCCTGTGTGGAATGTCATCCTCTATATTCTCTGCATTTTTATATGTGAGACTTTAATTTTATTTAAGCTAGATACTCCTGGACATATTTTGGCTTTGCTGGAATTAATCCTGAATGCTTCAGGTAAAAATGATCTTATTTTTGAGACCAGAAGTTCCAGATCAGTCTGGATAACATAGTGAGACCCTATCTCTACAAAAAAAAAAAAAGAAAGAAAGAAAGAAAGAAAATAAAGGTATTCGCTGTCCTGATCATTATTCTGGAAGACGGTGGCGCCATCTCAGCTTACTGAAGCTTCTGCCTCCCAGGTTCAGCAATTCTTAGGCCTCAGCCTCCAGAGTAGCTGGGATTATAGGTTTGCCACCAAGACTAGCTAAGTTTTAGTATTTTTAGTAGAGACAGTTTCACCATGTTGGCCAGGCAGGTCTTGAACTTTTGGTCTCAAGTGATCTGCCCACCTTGGTCTCCCAAAGTGCCAGGATTACAGATGTGAGTCACCGCACTTGGTCAGCTGATCATTATTCTTTATATGTGTACGTGACCAACAAGCCATTTGATGAACCAGCAGAAGAGGGTAAATGACTTATCTTTACCTGGCGAATACTGAAGATCGCCAATTGAATGTTGCCTCAGTACCTCAAAAGCATCCTCAAATGCTTGACCCAGCTTGTCTTGTTCAACGCATGTCTGTTGGAACAATGGCAGAAATCTGGAGTTATAGAATTACCAATTCAACTTGAATTCCCTAATATAAAATAGTATTTAGTCTAAAGCAGGGTTTCACGATCTTGGCACTGTGGACATTTGGCTGTCTCTGTTGTCAGAGCGCTGCCCTGTGCATTGTAAGATGTTTAGCAGCATCCCCAGCTTCTATCCACTGGATGCCAGTAGCACCTTCACAGTTGTGACCATCAAAAATGCTTCCGACATCACCAAATGTACCCTGAGGCACAAAATTAATGACAGTTGAAACCCACTCCACTACAGTCTAGTATTTAGAGTATGGTATTCATTCTATAGTATAGTATTTAACATTCTTGCAAAATTTTAGCAAGGAGTTGTAGAGCAGAGGAGAGTGATTTAGAAAAGAAGGCCAAGGAAATATCTTCAATGGAACAGAATCTGTGAATTGTTAACCTAAAAATAAAATGCTCTTTCTTTCTTTCTTTCTCTTTCTTTTCTTTCTTTTTTTTTTTTTTTTTAGACAGAGTCTTGCTCTGTCACCCAGGCTGGAGTGCAGCAGTGCAGTCTTGGCTCACTGCAACCTCCACCTCCCAGGTTCCAGCAATTCTCCTGGTTCAGCCTCCCAAGTAGCTGGGGCTGCAGGCACGTGCCACTTGCATCTGGCTAATTTTTGTATTTTTAATAGAGATGGGGTTTCAGCATGTTGGCCAGGCTGGTCTCGAACTCCTGACCTCAGGTGATCCACCCGCCTTGGCCTCCCAAATTGCTGGAGTTATAGGCGTGAGCCACCATGCTTGGCCAAAATGCTCTTACTTTCTAAAGTATATCTCCAAGACATAAAATTGAACTGCTTTGCAAACTATTTCATATCCTTATTAATATAATTTATATATTTTATTTTTAAAATGAAGGGAGAGTAAAGAAAATTTTTTTAATTATTATGCTGTAAAAAAATTATCCTGTAGACCTCCTCCGTAGACAAAGAAAATTTTAAAAGGTCAGCTTACCATGTTTCATTAATAAATTGACAGTTCTGTTCCTTGGCAATTACTGCTTGAAGAAAAGAATAAAACAAAATAAAATAAGTTGACAATTCTGAAAAAGTTTAGTATTTAAAAAGCAAAATTAAATTCAATCTCTAATTTGATTCTAAATAAGATTTTGCTCCAAAATATTTTCTGAAAATATCTTATATAAACCAAGAGTACTTTCTCACCTTTGATGAGTACAGATTTTCTTTCTACAAAATATTCTACAAACATTTCTTTTTGCTTTTCCATTATTACAAAATGTTTTAAATATTAAAGCAGCTATATGTATTAACTACCTAAGCTGCTAGATTGATAAGAGAAAGTAGAAATAACTCAAAAGTGTATTTAAGTATTTGCAAATTATTTTAAATATTTAAAAATTCTGAAAATCAAAATCCTTTTTACCTTAGCATAGCCTTATAAAAGCAGGACTTTTTAAAAAAAAAACCTTTCTTTGGTACTATACTGCCTTCTGAGAATCTGGCCTAAGCCATCCCTTTCCTCCCATGAAAATTGGACTTACATTGCAAATAAAATTCAGCCTGTGAAGTCTATACTTGGACTTGCTTGAATCTTAGGTTAAGAAAACTGGTCTGTAATTTTGATATCTACTTTCTCATTTCTAAGTAATTCTGATTTTGCTTTAGATACACAATTATCACATAGACCCACAATTAAATGCCTTTAACGCTGTATTCCATAGACCAAAACAACAAACAAAGAAAAAAAACCAACCCACATAATAAAAAGAACTCTGGTGGGTCCAAAATTGCTTATCATTTCATTAAGTAAACGCAGCAATTCTTTTTATGCAACTATGTATCTTCTTAGAATTTATACTGCAAACACAATGTGTTTACTCTTTTGTGTTTAATGCTGAATAATAAAATGAGATGTAATCTAAGGCTGATATTATATACATCCATCACATATCAACATAATATGTCAAACATCAAAATTCTATGTGGCTCTTGGAAATCACTATATCGTGTCAGTTAAAATAGAAGAAAATCCAGAAATCACTCTTTGAGCCGTGGTCGTTAGTGAATATTATCAGTAGCACATATTTTTTAAAAGCCACGTCAATGACTCTAAAGTGCAGAAGCACTGAAAGTTGTATTTTGAATTAAATATTTAAAATGAACATATTCTCTTTGACTAAAATACTCTATAAGACTATCGCAACTGTTAAAAGAAGCAAATCTAAAAGGAAGACAAAAGCTCAAAAACATTATTGATTACTATTATTGTTTACTATTTCTTGCATCTAAACATGCAGACAATGAGAAACACTCATTAGGCCAAAGGGAAAAATAAACAGTGATTAGAAGACATTTAGAAAAACATAAGCTGAGCACTTACCGGGAAGATACTTCAACCCTTTATAGAGATGTTTCATTAATATCAGAATTGGAAATTCAGTGGTAGGCTATCATGAAAATAAAAAATTATTTTCCAGGGTAATGGCTCTGATAAAAAAAGTAATAATTTTTAAAAAATCAGAATTGTTTAGACACAACCATCAAGAACACACTGGCAGAGTTGCATTAAATAGCTGTTTTTTAAGGAAGTTCTTCAAAAGGGGATTTTTTTTAAAAGATACAGTGCCTTCACAATTTCTATGTCATGATATGACCAATAGACACTAGGGGCTATTATTTTGAAGAGGCATATAATAATTTTCATCCCATCAGCCAAAAAGCAAAAAAGCATTAGAACAAACCCCATGAAATACCCGCCCAACTTGGGCTGCAGCTCTTCAGATTGCATAGCCCCACTGGAAACTTCTAACCCAGGCAACTCAGGTCCACCCTTCTTTTTTTTAAATTCATATTACTTCTCTCCCAATTTGGACTCTACACTCTCTTTCTTGCCTGAACTGTTAACAGCCTTCACTCTGGACTCTCCAACTCAGTCTTCTCTCCTAAACCACTTTACTTACACTGCCATTCAATGATGGCCTTACTTAGAGAACTTAAAGGCTTAGGTCCTTGCCCTGGCATTCAAGGCTCTTGAATCTCATCCTGTCACTTACTTGAGTGGGGAAAATGGATTCCATGCTCTTGCTTTCCTCCACACCTACATTCAGCGGGGGCTCAAAAATGGTTAGGAGAAGCTTATGAGTGACCATGTGGTTGGACATATCTGAGGCTGCTGCATTTCTAATGCAGGTCCAGTTCTTTTACTTGGTTTAAAGGTTTCTTTGGCGAGCCTCTGATGGAAATTATGGGCTGCTCCCTCCACCTATAATACTTTCTTCCCAGTTCATCCCCCTGCAGTTTCACCCATTTTATGTTACCTGTCCATCAGTGTCCAAAGCAGCATCCACTTGCGCACAGTGGAAATAACCTTCCCCTCCACTGAAACACGTCTTAACCTGTAACCTGCCATTTTAATAGCTGTCACATTTGGCCAGGGGGAAAACCGCCTAAGAATTTTTTGTAAACCTTGTGGGTGGGGAGAGTGTGGAGGGTCTGTGATTTCAAAGCTGCCGGTAATTTCTGTTTTGCATTGTTGGAGTCTGACCTCACCTTTGATATGGGACTATTGTTTTGGACCTATTACTTTTTTGAACGAATTTGTTATGCAAATGTAGACACACAGTCCTTCTTCTGATATGTAGATCTTATAGTAGCAAGTATAAAACTAATCGCTACTATAATCGCTAACCTTGATTTGTTCTTAATCTGTGTCAGTCTACACCCTTTTCAAGCCAACTTATTTGGTTCATTTATTCAACAAATATATATTACTGAGCTTTTCACTCTTCTGGGCACTGTCCCATGTCCAGGAGCTACAGCACTGAACAAGTCCTTATGAGAAGAAATGATTTTTTTAAAAAAGTAAACACATTGGTAAAGTATTAGATAAAAAGTGTCAAAAACAGAAGAGAAAGATGATGAAGAGAATGTGTGAATAACCAGGAAAAATCTCTGAAGAGGAAACTGGTGTGAGCTAAAACCCAAAAGAAGACTTAGGAGTGAGCAGACAGGCATGGTGTCTGCTGCCTAAGCAGCTATGCAGGAGGATGGCTTGAGGCCAGGAGTTCAAGACCAGCCTGGACAGTACAGTGAAACCCCCCCGAGCCCTGCCTCCCCATCCTGTCTCAAAAAAAATATGAAGGCGTGAGCAAAACAAAAAGCAAAGATGCAAATATTTGGAGGAGCACCTCTTGGCAGAGGAAACAGCAGGTGCAAAGAGCTGGGGATGGAAATGAGTTTGGCAATCAAGACACAGAAAAAGAGCAGGAGGAGGAGAGCAGGCTGAAGGAAAAGGCACCTGGGGGCTAAGAGGCAAAGTTGGAGAAGAAAGAGGCAGGATCCAGATCAACTTACACATCAAGCCCTAAAAGAATCAAAAGTCATATATGGAAGTGGTTACCTCTGTACCCCGTGTCACCGATGAGGAATCTAAAAAAGTTCAAAGATGTTTTGTGATTCTCTCTAAGGTTCAACTGTTAGTGAGGTTGCCTGAGCCAGATCCAAATTTGGGTTAATTCCACTTCATGTGCACGCTCTTAGCCCTGGAGCCCTGTGTGTACATGCAGTTGAGGCTGCCTTCGACTAGGTGCTCAGTCCCAATGGCAAACTCCACAGCACCCAGCCTATGCGTGCCGTATATTAATACTACAGGTGTGGTGAGTATTTGCTATTTGAAATTAATGCAAACACAAACACAGCAAACTTTCTTTTTTTTTTTTGAGGCAGTCTCCTCAGTCCCCCAGGCTAGAGTGTGCGATCGTGCAATCTCAGTTTACTGCAACTTCCACCGCCTGGGTTCAGTACCCCAGGCTGAAGAGCAATCAAGCAACTTCCGCCTCCTGGGTTCAAGTGATTCTCCTGCCTCAGCCTGCGCAGTAGCTGGGATTACAGGAGCACACCACCATACCTGGCTAATATTTGCATTTTTAGTAGAGATGGGATTTCACCAGGTAGGCCAGGCTGGTCTCAAACCCATGACCTGAGGTGATCCAAAACTCCTGACCTCAGGTGATCCATTCACCTCAGCCTCCCAAAATGCTGGGATTATGGGTGTGAGCCACCATGCCCAGCTTAAACTTTCTTTTACTTTTTTTACTTTTTAAATTTTTATTTTTATTTCTCAGATGAAGTCTCTGTCTGTTGCCCATGCTGCAGTGCAGTGGCATGATCTCGGCTCACTGCAACCTCTGCCTGCCAGGTTCAAGTGATTCTCCTGCCTCAGCCTCCAGAATAGCTGAGATTACAGGCCCATGCCACCATGCAGGCTAATTTTTGTATTTTTAGTAGAGACAGGGTTTCACCATGTTGGCCAGGCTGGTTTCAAACTCCTGACCTCAGGTGATATGCCTGCCTCAGACTCCCAAAGTGCTAGGATTATAGACGTGAGCTACCATGCCCAGCCTGTATTTTTTTTTAAATGTAAATAAATTAAAGTCCAATAGTTCTAGGTGACATCTCATCCAAGTACTAAACTGGCCCTACCCTTCTTGGTGTCCGAAATCAGAAGAGATCAGGCCTGAGCCTGTTCAGGGGGTTATGGACATAAACAAGTACACTTTTTTTTTTTTTTTGAGACTGAGTCTCCCTCTGTTGCCCAGGCTGGAGTGCAGTGGCATAATCTCTGCTCACTGCCACCTCTGCCTCCTGGGTTCAAGTGATTCTCCTGTTTTATCCTTCTAAGTAGCTGGGACTACAGGCTTCTGCCACAATGCCCAGCTAAATTTTGTGTTTGTAGAAGAGACAGGGTTTCACCATGTTGGCCAGGCTGGTGGTCTCAATCTCCCGACCTCAACTGATCCACCTGCCTAGACCTCCCAAAGTGCTGGGATTACAAAGTGCTGCTGAGCCACCATGCCCAGCCAGCAAGTGAACTGTCTAAACAAGCATTTTCCCAACTATTGTCTCCAGAGTTTGATTATGCAGGATGTTAATAAATAAACCTTGCAAAAGTGTTGAGTGGAAGCTAGGGTTGCTGCCTAGAGCTTCCTTAGTGAAACCAATGAGTGTGTTGAATTTTTCTTTTTTTAAGGTAGGCTGTCACCCAGGCTGGAGTGCAGTGACACAATCATAGCTCACTGTAGCCTCAATCTCTTAGGCTCAAGTGATCCTCCTGCCTCAACCTCCCGAGTAGCTGGGACTGCAGGCAGGCTCCACCATGCTAAGCAAATTTTTAATTTTTTTGTAGAAATGGGGGATGTCTCACCATGTTGCCCAGACTGGTCTTGAACTCCTGGGCTCAAGTCATTATATATATGTAAAATCACTACTTCGCTGGCACCTCACTGGGGACCATGAGAACGGGTCTGTTGTCCCATCTTTCTCTGTGCAGCTGAGTTGTTCCCTACTAGTCCTGTGTCAGAGCAGTTTCCTCTGTGGATATGAACACTAGTAGGAGCCATTAAAGTAATTATGATCAATACATAGACCGTATGGGGAATAAACACACATCATGATAGCTGTTATATCACTGAAGTGCTCACACACACACACACACACATGTGTGTGTGTGTGTATATATATATATATGTACACATACATACAACCCTATATTATAGGTAAGAAAACAGAAATGCAGCTCTAGGGTCCTCTGATGTGAAGAAAAGATAATGCAGTAGACTTTTAGCATTTCAGAAGTAAAAACTCCTATTTCTTGAGAATCCAATGAAAGCCAGCAGTTATTTTCCCAGGAAAATGCTGTCAGCACACATTCCCAGGCAAATCCTCCCAGCAGGGCCACCACTACAGTATTTATTTCATATCTGGACACCAGTGTTTCCCTCAACTCCAGAAATTAGCTAAATAACAAGCTAAGGGCTCTGAAGAGAGGATCCCTGATTGACAGAGTTGCTTTTGCAGAAGTTCATTGTCCTCAGTGGCAATGGAGATTATTTTAGAAAATCTTAAGCAACACATGTGCTGGCGTAAAAATCATATGGTGCCATGCTTCAGGTGGCAAGAATAGGGAACTGCAGAACCCAAAAAGGGAGATCAAGTTCAAGCTCTTATCATTCTTCACAATTTTTACTTAAATAATTGTTGAAGTGACTAAAGAATTGGATGTTAATCTTGGCAAGATCTTTGGAAATCTTAATAAGGAAATAATAAAGATGGTTAGTAGACTGGGGAGAAGGTGCTAGAAAATTCCTCATGTTTGGCTGGGTGCAGTGGCTCACGCCTATAATCTTATCACTTTGGGTGGCTGAAGTGGGAGGATTGCTTGAGGCCAGGAGTTCAAGATCAGCCTGGTCAACATAGTGAGACCTCATCTCTGTTATTTTAAAAAAAGAAAAGAAGAAAAGAAGCCTGGGTGCGGTGGGTCACGCCTGTAATCTCAACACTTGGGAGGTCAAGGCAGGCAGATCACAACCTGACCAACATGGAGAAACCTCATTGGTTTACTAAAAATACAAAATTAGCTGGGCGTGGTGGCTCAAGCCTGTAATCCCAGCTACTCAGGAGGCTGAGGCAGGAGAATCACTTGAGCCCAGGAGATGGAGGTTGCAGTGAGCAGAGATTGTACCATT